GGAGACCCGGGTTCAAGTCCCAGTGAGGGAGGGAGTGTGCTGTGGTGGCATCTTATTTCAACATGAATTGTAATGTCAAGTACAAGTGCGACTTCCATCACAGCACAGTGGGCGTCCAGGTGGCACAATGTAGAGAGCTGCAGGTTGGTGACCCTGCAGGCCATGGTTCGAGTCCCGGCAAGCGACGTCTATGTGTTTTCCTCTTGTGTATTGTAATGTCAAATACAATTGCGACTTTCCAGCACATCACAGTGGGCGTCCAGGTGGCGCAGAGCAGAGCAGAGAGCTGCAGGTTATCGGATCTTTAGACCATGGTTCGAGTCCCGGCAAAGGACATCTACGATCTTTCCTCTTGTGTATTGTAATGTCAAATACAAGTGCGACTTTCCAGCACATCACGGTGGCGCAGAGCAGAGAGCTGCAGGTTATCAGATCTTTAGACCGGGGTTCGAGTCCCTGAAGGGACATCTACAATGTTTCCTCTTGTGTATTGTGATCAAATACAAGTGTGAGGTCCAAGTCCTGCTGATTTCCATGAAAAGTCACTGTGAAGTTATTTGAAATTTCTAAGTCAAGTATAATTTCCAACCAAATCTTAGCCAGCTTCTTGGTGTTGGTGAACTCTGTAGACTCAGGTTTGAGTCCCTGCAAGTATGGCCACCAAGAAGGAAGTACCCAAGCCCTTTTCATATGCATGTATGGGAAAGGGATCATTCATTAACTACTTAATTAAAGACACTTGTCCAACCGCACACAAAAAGTTTTCAAGACAGCTTTGGTTATAACACCCCCCCCAGCCCCTATGAAGGGGGGGATGGAGGGGTTCTGCTGACATTGAGGCCCTTTTTGGGGGTACCTCATTCATGGTGGCCGTGTGAGCGGGGACTCAAACCTGAGCCTGCAGAGTGTTCACCAACAGCCCTTACCGCTGAACCACCAAGACGCCAGCTAAGACACAGTCGGAAGTTATACTTGACCTTACAATTCACATGACTTAGAAATTAGAGCTTGTATATGACAACACAACACAAGACAAGACAAGAGGAGACAAGAGGACACAACACAAGAGGACACAACACAAGAGGAAACCACATAGACGTCCTTTGCCAGGACTCGAACCCTGGTCTACAGATCTGATAACCGGCAGTGCTCTGCCTTGCGCCACCTGGACACTCCGTGGGATATGCTGGAAAGTCGCACTTGTATTTGACATTACAATTCATGTAGAAATAACTTGCCACCACAGCACACTCCCTCACTGGGACTTGAACCCGGGTCTCCTGTGCAGATCACACACATTTCTCTCCCCTGCGCCACAAGGTCAAACTTGTATTTGACATTACAATTCAGGTGACGTAGAAATAATCACTGGCGTCCCCAAGAGCCCTCTTCTTATATCTCGTTGTCCTGTTATGGTGAACAGCTCCCTCCACTGTGCCACGCAGGTCAGAGGTTATCTAGATCATTACAATTACCATGACATCATTAACTTTGAAACAAATGACTTTAGGCTTCAATGGAGACGAATGTCAGAAAGACTTTATTGAATATCTCTTATTTCCAAGTCAGGGTTGACAACCGACAGCTCGCTCCGCTCCGCCACCAGCTGTGACCTTGTGACCTTGTAGGAGGTCAGAATTTACATTACAATTCACGTGACTATTGTTACATTTCCAAAATTGCATAATTTCATTTGGCTCCCACAACAGGTAGAGAGAGAGAGAGAACCTTTTTGGTCGTAATTTTGATTGCATTCTTTGATGTTCTCAGCCTCACTTGTAGACCACTTTAGATGAAAGTGTCTGCTCAATGATTACATGTAAACATCTGAGAGTGTGTGTGTGTGGCCACTGTCTGATCCTCTGTAGCCTACGTCACCTTGCTGTCATCATAGTATTGCTATTGAATGTTATCAGTCATCCCAGATGTAAGATGTAAGATATCAAATGTAATTTAATGTATTGATCCCAGAGTGATGAAGGGGTTCTGCTGACATTGAGGCCCTTTTGGGGGTACCTCATTCATAGTGGCCGTATGTGCGGGTACTCGAACGTGAGTCTACAGAGTGTTGACCAACACCCTTACCGCTGCACCACCAAGACACATGTTAAGGTATGGTCGGAAGTTATACTTGACCTTGCAATTCACATTACCTTTCCAACAATACCAATATTATTTTTGTACTTTAAATAGAACCCGAGATATGTCCTAATTAAGGACATAAGGACCGTCTAAGATTAGAGGGATGGACAATGGGAACACTCTGACCTTGATGTGATTTGAAAACACAACCTTCTGATCGGGAGTCAGAAACACTACCGTTGCGCCACAAGACCGGATTGTGGGCTCTTCCAGACATCAAATCGATTATCATCTTTTGCCACAGTGAGCAAAGGGTTACAGATAAAACGTGTTTCTAACAGAAAGCTATTCTGACAGTCCAGAATAAAGGGAAGGACACTGGCAACATTCTGACCTTGATGTAATTTGAACACACAACCTTCTGATCTGGAGTCAGACACGCTACCGTTGCGCCACAAGGCCTGGAGACACTTGCTTCTAGACATCAAATCGATGATCATCTATTGTTGCCAGTGAGCAATGGGTTAGAAGAACACTAGGTTTCTGTTAGAAACTGGGAGCTGATTTCACAGTCGGATAGGACGAGTGGAACAATATGACCGTGATGTGAACACACAACCTTCTGATCTGGAGTCAGACGCCCTACCATTGCGCCACAAGGCCTGAAGACAGTTACTTCTAGACATTAAATCGCTGATCATCTATTGCCAAAAGGATTACAGGAAAGCAACACATTTCTGTTAGAAGAAGGGAGCAGAATTTAGATTAGAGGAATGGACAATGGAAAGACTTTGACCTTAATGTGTTTTGAACACACAACCTTCTGATCTGGAGTCTGACACGCTACCGTTGCGCCACAAGGCCTGGAAACCCTTGCTTCTAGACGTCAAATCGATGATCATCTATTGTTGCCAGTGAGCAATGGGTTACAAGAAAACTAGGTTTCTGTTTGAAACTTCAAGCTGATTTCACAGTCGGTTTGAACGACTGGAACAACCTGACCTTGATGTGATTTGAACACACAACCTTCTGATCTGGAGTCAGACGCGCTACCATTGCGCCACAAGGCCTAAAGACAGTGGCTTTTAGACATCAAATCCCTGATCATCTATTGCTAAAAGTGAGAAAAGGACTACAGGAAAGCAACACATTTCTGTTAGAAGAAGAGAGCTGATTTTACAGTCTGGATTACAGAGATGGACAATGGGAACACTCTGATCTTGATGTGATTTGAACACACAACCTTCTGATCTGGAGTCAGACGCGCTACCGTTGCGCCACAAGGCCTGGAAACACTTGCTTCTAGACATCAAATCGATGATCATCTATTGTTGCCAGTGAGCAATGGGTTACAAGAAAACTAGGTTTCTGTTAGAAACTTGGAGCTGATTTCACAGTCGGATTGAACAACTGGAACATCCTGACCTTGATGTGATTTGAACACACAACCTTCTGATCTGGAGTCAGACGCGCTACCGTTGCGCCACAAGGCCTGAAGACATTTGCTTCCAGACATCAAGTCGCCAATCATCTATTGCCAAAAATGAGAGAAGGATTACAGGAAAACAACATGTTCCTGTTAGAGAATGGGAGCAGAATCTGTATTAGTGGAATGGACAATGGGAAGACATTGACCTTGATGTGATTTGAACACACAACCTTCTGATCTGGAGTCAGACACGCTACGATTGCGCCACAAGGCCTAGGGACACATAGTTCTAGACATCAAATCGATGATCATCTATCGTTGCCAGTGAGCAACGGGTTACAAGAACACTAGGTTTCTGTTAGAAACAGGGAGCTGACTTCACAGTCAGATTATACGAGTGGAACAACCTGACCTTGATGTGATTTGAACACACAACCTTCTGATCTGGAGTCAGACACGCTACCATTGCGCCACAAGGCCTGAAGACAGTTCCTTCCAGACATCAAATCCACGATCAACTATTGCTAAAAATGAGAAAGGGATTACAGGAAAGCAGAATGTTTCTGTTAGAAGAAGGGAGCAGAATTTAGATTAGAGGAATGGACAATGGGAAGACTTTGACCTTGATGTGATTTGAACACTCAACCTTCTGATACGGAGTCAGACGCGCTACCGTTGCGCCACAAGGCCTGGAAACACTTGCTTCTAGACATCAAATCGATGATCATCTATTTTTGCCAGTGAGCAACGGGTTACAAGAAAACGAGGTTTCTGTTAGAAACTGGGAGCTGATTTCACAGTCGGATTGGACGAGAGGAACAATCTGACCTTGATGTGATTTGAACACACAACCTTCTGATCTGGAGTCAGACGCGCTACCATTGCGCCACAAGGCCTGAAGACAGTTGCTTCTAGACATCAAATCCCCGATCATCTATTGCTAAAAGTGAGAAAAGGACTACAGGAAAGCAACACATTTCTGTTAGAAGAAGATTTTACAGTCTGGATTAGAGAGATGGACAATGGGAACACTCTGACCTTGATGTGCTTTGAACACACAACCTTCTGATGTGGAGTCAGATGCGCTACCTTTGCACCACAAGGCCTGAAGACATTTACTTCTAGACATCAAATCGCCAATCATCTATTGCCAAAAATGAGCGAAGGATTACAGGAAAACAACATGTTCCTGTTAGAAAATGGGAGCAGAATCTGTATTAGAGGAATGGACAATGGGAAGACTTTGACCTTGATGTGATTTCTCTCTCTCTCTCTCTCTCTCTCCCCCCAACTGGTCAAGGCAGATGACCACCCACCTAGAGCCGAAGGGTCTGTCCAAGGTTTCTGCCTTTTAACAGGCAGTTTTTCCTTGCCCCCGTGCCAAGTGCTTGCTCATGGTGGTAATGTTGGGTCTCTGTAAACGTTATTAGAAGTTCGGTCTAGACCTGCTCCATTTGAAAAGTGCCCTGAGATAACTTCTGTTATGAATTGGCGCTATACAAATAAAATTGAATTGAATACACAACCTTCTGATCTGGAGTCAGACACGCTACCTTTGCGCCACAAGGCCTAGAGCAGGCCTGGGGAATCTGTTCCACAAAGGGCCGGTGTGGCTGCAGGTTTTTGTTCAAACCAACCAAGAGCACACAGTTTGACCAATCAGCTCTCTGAAGACTGAGATCAGTTGATTAAATGATTCAAGTCTGGTGTGCTGCTGCTTAGTTGGAAAAGAAACCTGCAGCCACACCGGCCCTTTATGGAACAGATTCCCCAGGCCTGGCCTAGAGACACTTACTTCTAGACATCAAATCGATGATCATCTATTGTTGCCAGTGAGCAATGGGTTACAAGAAAACTAGGTTTCTGTTAGAAACTGGGAGCTGATTTCACAGTCGGATTGGACGAGAGGAACAATCTGACCTTGATGTGATTTGAACACACAACCTTCTGATCTGGAGTCAGACGCGCTACCATTGCGCCACAAGGCCTGAAGACACTTGCTTCTAGACATCAAATCCCCGATCATCTATTGCTAAAAGTGAGAAAAGGACTACAGGAAAGCAACACATTTCTGTTAGAAGAAGATTTTACAGTCTGGATTAGAGAGATGGACAATGGGAACACTCTGACCTTGATGTGCTTTGAACACACAACCTTCTGATGTGGAGTCAGATGCGCTACCTTTGCACCACAAGGCCTGAAGACATTTACTTCTAGACATCAAATCGCCAATCATCTATTGCCAAAAATGAGCGAAGGATTACAGGAAAACAACATGTTCCTGTTAGAAAATGGGAGCAGAATCTGTATTAGAGGAATGGACAATGGGAAGACTTTGACCTTGATGTGATTTCTCTCTCTCTCTCTCTCTCCCCCCAACTGGTCAAGGCAGATGACCACCCACCTAGAGCCGAAGGGTCTGTCCAAGGTTTCTGCCTTTTAACAGGCAGTTTTTCCTTGCCCCCGTGCCAAGTGCTTGCTCATGGTGGTAATGTTGGGTCTCTGTAAACGTTATTAGAAGTTCGGTCTAGACCTGCTCCATTTGAAAAGTGCCCTGAGATAACTTCTGTTATGCATTGGCGCTATACAAATAAAATTGAATTGAATACACAACCTTCTGATCTGGAGTCAGACACGCTACCTTTGCGCCACAAGGCCTAGAGCAGGCCTGGGGAATCTGTTCCACAAAGGGCCGGTGTGGCTGCAGGTTTTTGTTCAAACCAACCAATAGCACACAGTTTGACCAATCAGCTCTCTGAAGACTGAGATCAGTTGATTAAATGATTCAAGTCTGGTGTGCTGCTGCTTAGTTGGAAAAGAAACCTGCAGCCACACCGGCCCTTTATGGAACAGATTCCCCAGGCCTGGCCTAGAGACACTTACTTCTAGACATCAAATCGATGATCATCTATTGTTGCCAGTGAGCAATGGGTTACAAGAAAACTAGGTTTCTGTTAGAAACTGGGAGCTGATTTCACAGTCGGATTGGACGAGAGGAACAATCTGACCTTGATGTGATTTGAACACACAACCTTCTGATCTGGAGTCAGACGCGCTACCATTGCGCCACAAGGCCTGAAGACACTTGCTTCTAGACATCAAATCCCCGATCATCTATTGCTAAAAGTGAGAAAAGGACTACAGGAAAGCAACACATTTCTGTTAGAAGAAGATTTTACAGTCTGGATTAGAGAGATGGACAATGGGAACACTCTGACCTTGATGTGCTTTGAACACACAACCTTCTGATGTGGAGTCAGATGCGCTACCTTTGCACCACAAGGCCTGAAGACATACTTCTAGACATCAAATCGCCAATCATCTATTGCCAAAAATGAGAGAAGGATTACAGGAAAACAACATGTTCCTGTTAGAAAATGGGAGCAGAATCTGTATTAGAGGAATGGACAATGGGAAGACTTTGACCTTGATGTGATTTCTCTCTCTCTCTCTCCCCCCAACTGGTCAAGGCAGATGACCACCCACCTAGAGCCGAAGGGTCTGTCCAAGGTTTCTGCCTTTTAACAGGCAGTTTTTCCTTGCCCCCGTGCCAAGTGCTTGCTCATGGTGGTAATGTTGGGTCTCTGTAAATGTTATTAGAAGTTCGGTCTAGACCTGCTCCATTTGAAAAGTGCCCTGAGATAACTTCTGTTATGAATTGGCGCTATACAAATAAAATTGAATTGAATACACAACCTTCTGATCTGGAGTCAGACATGCTACCTTTGCGCCACAAGGCCTAGAGCAGGCCTGGGGAATCTGTTCCACAAAGGGCCGGTGTGGCTGCAGGTTTTTGTTCAAACCAACCAAGAGCACACAGTTTGACCAATCAGCTCTCTGAAGACTGAGATCAGTTGATTAAATGATTCAAGTCTGGTGTGCTGCTGCTTGGTTGGAAAAGAAACCTGCAGCCACACCGGCCCTTTATGGAACAGATTCCCCAGGCCTGGCCTAGAGACACTTACTTCTAGACATCAAATCGATGATCATCTATTGTTGCCAGTGAGCAACGGGTTACAAGAAAACTAGGTTTCTGTTAGAAACTGGGAGCTGATTTCACAGTCGGATTGGACGAGAGGAACAATCTGACCTTGATGTGATTTGAACACACAACCTTCTGATCTGGAGTCAGACGCGCTACCATTGCGCCACAAGGCCTGAAGATAGTTGCTTCTAGACATCAAATCCCCGATCATCTATTGCTAAAAGTGAGAAAAGGACTACAGGAAAGCAACACATTTCTGTTAGAAGAAGATTTCACAGTCTGGATTAGAGAGATGGACAATGGGAACACTCTGACCTTGATGTGCTTTGAACACACAACCTTCTGATGTGGAGTCAGATGCACTACCTTTGCACCACAAGGCCTGAAGACATTTACTTCTAGACATCAAATCGCCAATCATCTATTGCCAAAAATGAGAGAAGGATTACAGGAAAACAACATGTTCCTGTTAGAAAATGGGAGCAGAATCTGTATTAAAGGAATGGACAATGGGAAGACTTTGACCTTGATGTGATTTCTCTCTCTCTCTCTCTCTCTCTCTCTCTCTCTCCCCCCAACTGGTCAAGGCAGATGACCACCCACCTAGAGCCGAAGGGTCTGTCCAAGGTTTCTGCCTTTTAACAGGCAGTTTTTCCTTGCCCCCGTGCCAAGTGCTTGCTCATGGTGGTAATGTTGGGTCTCTGTAAATGTTATTAGAAGTTCGGTCTAGACCTGCTCCATTTGAAAAGTGCCCTGAGATAACTTCTGTTATGAATTGGCGCTATACAAATAAAATTGAATTGAATACACAACTTTCTGATCTGGAGTCAGACATGCTACCTTTGCGCCACAAGGCCTAGAGCAGGCCTGGGGAATCTGTTCCACAAAGGGCCGGTGTGGCTGCAGGTTTTTGTTCAAACCAACCAAGAGCACACAGTTTGACCAATCAGCTCTCTGAAGACTGAGATCAGTTGATTAAATGATTCAAGTCTGGTGTGCTGCTGCTTGGTTGGAAAAGAAACCTGCAGCCACACCGGCCCTTTATGGAACAGATTCCCCAGGCCTGGCCTAGAGACACTTACTTCTAGACATCAAATCGATGATCATCTATTGTTGCCAGTGAGCAACGGGTTACAAGAAAACTAGGTTTCTGTTAGAAACTGGGAGCTGATTTCACAGTCGGATTGGACGAGAGGAACAATCTGACCTTGATGTGATTTGAACACACAACCTTCTGATCTGGAGTCAGACGCGCTACCATTGCGCCACAAGGCCTGAAGATAGTTGCTTCTAGACATCAAATCCCCGATCATCTATTGCTAAAAGTGAGAAAAGGACTACAGGAAAGCAACACATTTCTGTTAGAAGAAGATTTCACAGTCTGGATTAGAGAGATGGACAATGGGAACACTCTGACCTTGATGTGCTTTGAACACACAACCTTCTGATGTGGAGTCAGATGCACTACCTTTGCACCACAAGGCCTGAAGACATTTACTTCTAGACATCAAATCGCCAATCATCTATTGCCAAAAATGAGAGAAGGATTACAGGAAAACAACATGTTCCTGTTAGAAAATGGGAGCAGAATCTGTATTAAAGGAATGGACAATGGGAAGACTTTGACCTTGATGTGATTTCTCTCTCTCTCTCTCTCTCTCTCTCCCCCCAACTGGTCAAGGCAGATGACCACCCACCTAGAGCCGAAGGGTCTGTCCAAGGTTTCTGCCTTTTAACAGGCAGTTTTTCCTTGCCCCCGTGCCAAGTGCTTGCTCATGGTGGTAATGTTGGGTCTCTGTAAATGTTATTAGAAGTTCGGTCTAGACCTGCTCCATTTGAAAAGTGCCCTGAGATAACTTCTGTTATGAATTGGCGCTATACAAATAAAATTGAATTGAATACACAACCTTCTGATCTGGAGTCAGACATGCTACCTTTGCGCCACAAGGCCTAGAGCAGGCCTGGGGAATCTGTTCCACAAAGGGCCGGTGTGGCTGCAGGTTTTTGTTCAAACCAACCAAGAGCACACAGTTTGACCAATCAGCTCTCTGAAGACTGAGATCAGTTGATTAAATGATTCAAGTCTGGTGTGCTGCTGCTTGGTTGGAAAAGAAACCTGCAGCCACACCGGCCCTTTATGGAACAGATTCCCCAGGCCTGGCCTAGAGACACTTACTTCTAGACATCAAATCGATGATCATCTATTGTTGCCAGTGAGCAACGGGTTACAAGAAAACTAGGTTTCTGTTAGAAACTGGGAGCTGATTTCACAGTCGGATTGGACGAGAGGAACAATCTGACCTTGATGTGATTTGAACACACAACCTTCTGATCTGGAGTCAGACGCGCTACCATTGCGCCACAAGGCCTGAAGACAGTTGCTTCTAGACATCAAATCCCCGATCATCTATTGCTAAAAGTGAGAAAAGGACTACAGGAAAGCAACACATTTCTGTTAGAAGAAGATTTTACAGTCTGGATTAGAGAGATGGACAATGGGAACACTCTGACCTTGATGTGCTTTGAACACACAACCTTCTGATGTGGAGTCAGATGCGCTACCTTTGCACCACAAGGCCTGAAGA